AATGGTTTCCTTCACATTTTTCTTGCCCGACAGGAAATATCGCTAAATTACGTCGGCGGACGAATGACGCACTCGCGGTTAGTCCCGTGCCTCAAAGCATGTCACGCGTTTCTGAGAAAAGAACGACTGCTTCTTGCCATGCCAAACGACTTTGCGCACACGCACACACCTGAGGTGCAGTTGCTCGTGCGCCTATTACACAGCTCAGATCCATGACCTCTTTATCAACATATTGGTCCTTGTGCCACCTTAGAACTATAATTCTTCAAAACTTTTCAAAATCACTACAACAGGTAAATCGCAACCCAGTTCCGTCAATGGGCATCGTTTCCGCTCTTTATGTTGGAATTCTTGACCTCCCCCCCCCCCCCTCACTTCCCGCCGCCCCAACATCAGGGCATCAGGCAATGCCAATCAGACTCGACCAGCGGCGACCCTCGTTCTTACGAAAGCGCACACCGGACCAAAGCCGCGAACCAATCGCCTCATCCGATCCAGCGCTGCTAGCTCAAGCCTGATGCGTTCCACATCCGCGGAAGTCATCATCTAGCATATCGCGTGTTCATCACTCGGAGGTCGGAGCCAGCCACGGCAGCGTGAGCCGCGGATCGCACCCTGGTTCCCGGGCACTACTCACGCGGATGTCACTCGACAAGCACCAGCCCCACTGCTGCAGCAGCGGATTAGGGACGCCCGGTTCAGAGCACTTCGGATTACGGAATGGCCTAAGTAGGCTTAAGTCAGTCGAGTAGTGATTTAGCTTATTTCAAAGGAATTGCATAGAGTCCCCTATTCTATGGGAAAACGATCAGAGCCGTAATGGATCCTGTAAAATTTCCATATCCTACAGAAAATATATGATTTGCATGGGATCCTATAGGATTCTCATTTCCCATGAAAATTGAATGGGTTTCCGAAGGAATCTTATGTCCTGTAGGCTTCCTATGGCATCCTATAGTAAATCTTATAAAGATATTTTGCTAGGAGGGACTGGGAGATCCTCTAGGGATCCTCTCTTTTAAAAAGAGGTCTGCAAGGAAAAACGCCGCCAGCAACTGCGGGGGCACCGACCTGGTCCCACACAGCTGCCTTGCCAGTGTGCTTCTGTGAAAAGCACACCTTAGATTGGAGGGCTCTGAAGTCAGGCTCACGCTGCGCTGACCTGGCCCGGGAGACGTACAAATAAAAATCCAAATAATTATAATAATAATAAACCAAAGGTCCAAATAATTTCAAGCAAGAGCACTGATGCGACTTAAAGATGAATTCTCCTTCGCTGCACCTGATGGACGTCTTTGTTGGTTATCTTGCATTTTTGCTCACCGTGTAAATGCATACATGTTTAATTTCGCTTAGTCACAAAGTTTTGCCGCAGAAATTTTGCGCTCCTGCTCAGGATGCAGCGTGAGCTAGTTTAAGTCTCTGCATGCGTGGTTGGGTGGATGGGATGGTGGAAGGGGGCGAAGAAGTCAGCTGTTTCCCCACGTTTAGAAAAACAACACTAACCCAATGGTGCTGGACGGAAAAGAGCCAATTCTGCCTCATCCCCAAGCGAGGTTCCGTTTACATTAGTGTTTATTGCTTTTGCTATGGATGCCGGAGGCTCGAAAAGAAGGGATAGCCACCTACCATGTCTCCAGAAACAACACAGTTTTAAGTCTTAAAAAGGGCATGGCTGTGAGCATGCATTTGTTCCGGCACGCACAAAAATGCCACGCCTAATAAAAATATGTCGCAAAGCTGCCAGATTAGGAAAGGTTTCTTACCTGCGCGAAATATCTTTCACGTATCAGAACACTGGTACACATCAATAAAGGCCGCCGTGTACGCAGGGCCCGCGTGGTGCCCCCTTTCCAGCTCCCATGCATTGGTCAAAAGGTCGCAGCGATGGTGAGCACAGTGAACAGATTTTGTGAAGTCGCGCTGTAAGTCTGATGAAATGTGGGTTTCTGGCTTGGGTCCCATCAGTCCTAATTTGGGACCAGGCTGTGACTCAGTACTGCACTGACACAAATCTGAGCTTGAATCATGAATCATGCTAGCGAGGTAAGCATATGCATGAGGATTTTCCTGAAAGTGTTGAGTGAGACAGGGGCGTAAACAAATGTTTGTCAGCAATTGCCCTTCGTCCTGATAAGGGGGAGGTGAATGTTACCCCCTAAGGTTTCTCGAGGATATCTCTCCGGGCTGCCCTGCAATCGCATCCGAATTTTCGCAGCCTATAGAGCATCTGTTGCGCATGTTTTGACATCAAGAACGCGCGCCCCTGGCGTTTGTGGTTTCGTAGCAGGGTTGGTTTTTGAAGAACACTGCATGACGGTTTACCTACTGGCCGGCTGGGAAAGGGGGGGGGGGGGGGGGGAGAGCGCAAACGGCGATGCCGCGCAACGCACGCGCCGGAACGGCATTGTTACATTGACAAAGCCATACATAATAGACTAAGACATACATAAAAGGTTACATGTTTGATTCAAGGTCAGTAGCCTTGTGTGATCTTTCGAAGGTCATGGTGACCAGGGTAATAGAAGACTGCTTTGAGTTTTGCAGTTGAGTACATAACAAAAATTAAACCAGCCCATATGTTCATAAAAACGAAGCATTGACCTATGTCATTTAAGGTCAGTGACCTATTTTGACCGATGATGAGTCTATGGAAGATGTCTTATGCGGTTTATGTTATCAATGAATTCGAAATGAGTACCAAAAACTAACCCAAGCAGCAGGCCTTGAAGTGATAAAAAGTTCGTTTTGACCTTGATCTAGCCTTTATACCTGAACTTAGGTCGATGGAATTTGGTCATTCGATTGCTGTGCCGCCTAAGAAAGTATCTCAGAGATGCACAGCTTCGTCTGACACTTCGATGTTCCATCAGACTGAATGATTCCCTGGAAATTGTCTTCGCTGAGTCCATAGCCTGACTTTGACCTACCTTCGGCCAGCAGCCTTACAAGGTGCATCCAAGTTTTTGGTATCACACGATTTGCTATTCAATTGCCTACAGCTATGCCAAATTTGGCGTGGCTTCGCCACGCCGTTCAGCAACCACTTCGAAAAAAACCCTCGGGGGAGTTTGACCCCTACCCGAGCGCGTGTTAAATGCCTCTCTGCGAAATCTTGTTTTTTGAACAAATTCCTTTCCTTTGCCCCCTTTTCTGCGCTCTTCTGCGCTGTGCATTTCCAACCAAGGAGAGCCGACATAACTTGCCCCTTTCGTGATGTGTACTGCCGCCATGTTAAACGGTGCCCGGATTCGGCAGGGGTCGCTACACTCTGCCTTCCTCGAGGCCGCCACCCCTGGCCGCGTTACGCCAAGCTCCAGCCCTAGCCCCAGCCCAATCCTCAGCCTCAGTGCCCCATTCCCAGCCGCAGGCCCAGTCCCAGTCCTACGCTAAGTCCCAGTGCCATTGTCAGTGCCAATTCCAGTGCCAGTTCAAGTCCCAGTTCCACTCGCAGCCCCGGTCCCAGCCCCAGTCCCACTCCTAGTCTCAGCGCCAGTGCCAGTGCCAGTGCCAGTGTCAGTGCCAGTGGCAGTGCCAGTGGCAGTGCCAGTGGCAGTCCCAGCATTAATGCCAGCTCCAGTCCTAATAGCAGGCCCAGTCCCAGCCCCAGTCCCAACCTCAGTGCCAGCTCTAGTCCCAATAGCAGGCCCAGTCCCAGTTCCAGCCCTAGTCCCAGGCCCAGCCATACTCCCAGTCCCATGCCCAGCCGCAGTCCCAGGCCCAAGCCCAGTCGCAGATGCAGCCACGGCCCGGTCTAGCCCTGTGGTGCACTACCTAGCGCCTCACTGATCATGTTACGCATGCAATCGACGGCGATGGAGCCAAGGGGGATTTGGGTTGCGGGAGCGCCTAATCTATGTTCAGGGTGGGTTGGAGGCTCCAAAATGTCAAAATGGGATGTCAAAATGCCTTAGATTAGATAGTAGGCCCCTGCAGACCGTGATGGGCCGTCTACATGTAAGAATCAATTACAATTATTGATAGTAAATAATGGACCTTCTGCAGGCCATAATGGGCCTGCAAGTCATGATGGGTCATCTCCAGAATGGGTCTACATGTCAAATGGATCATCTTAAGGTCAGAAGTGCCCTCTAGAGATCAGAATGGATCCGCCACAGTTAATAATGGGCGTCTACAGATTAGAATGGGCTTTCAAATGTCAGAAAGCATCTCTCCAGGCCTCGTACTGCTCCATTTTGGTCACGAGGTACCCTAAGTACCCCGGAATGAGCCCTCACCGGGCCAAAATAGACTTTTGCATGCACTCTGTCCCCTCAAAGCAGTTTTTAACTTGAGGAGAAGAGCTGCCCTCACTGCCCTCCCCCCCCCGCCCCCGGTTGCTTGGGTGCCATCCCCTGCCACTGGAGGTGGCATATGCCCCGAGAGCCAAAGGCGTTGTTCAAAATCAATTCTCGTTGTTTATCTTACAAAGTCCTGACTCGTTCCGGTTCCACTGCGTTTTGATTATGTGTCAACAGGACCCACGTGTGCCACCCAGGTTACTTCCCTGTTCGACACACGCATATGTTATGTGTACCAATCCAGCGTACGCCAATCCTGCGCACACATACAGCAGAAGGTTCTGGACCGCAGGTACAAAACTTAGGCATTTTGGTAACTTTGCTGCACATTTTTGCCTGCATTAGAATCTTTATATGTGCTGGAAAAAATGCGCGTTGTGAACAATCTTGAATGACAATTCAATATGCGACCTCTCAGTTACACGACCACACAAATGTGAAACGCTCCTCGTGTCCATATTCAGAGTCGAATGAAACGGAGCGCCTAGAGGTCACTTCCCTTCTGCGGCTTCCAGTGGATTCACTGGATCTAAGTTGCCCATAGACAGCTCATGCCTATGTGATATTAGATATCCAAGGAAATATCTTTGTGAGATAGTTAAGTACTTATTCGGTTGTCCATCTCTATTAGAAGTCCTACGTTCGCGGCGTAGCTGTTTCATAATGTAGAATGTAAATATGCTGTTGGAACGCATGCGATACAAAGCTCCGCCCCAGAGTCTGCTTGTGGGGGCGCATGGAAATATTATGTATCCGAAGTATACTGAACAACATCTTAAGGAGGATGGATTTCGAGTCAGGGCAAGCTATAGGGCATAGTGATGATATGTAGCAGGGGGATGTGATATTTGATACTCAAGGTGCATAGTTGCATCCTAAGTCTTATCCTGAATCGATCTTGTCCTTAGTCTTGGCGCCTGAATCAACAACTAGTTGAAGGACAATGCATCAGCCCAAGAAAGCACGAAGTGGGAAGACAAGAAAGGGATGCCCTGCAGAGGTGCTCCATCCACAAGGCCAAGAAACAAGCACCCAGATTTGGAAACGAGAAAGCAATGTAAAGCTGGAGAATAATGCTTTCCATGATGTTACAAAAGTTAAAGCTGAGAATATAGCAGACTTTGAGGAGGTCTTTCTTGAGGATTGTGAGGTGGGTAAATCTGATTTACAAGAATTGAATGTTGATGTATGACAATGTTTGCATACCCTATTATTGAAACTGGGTAGGTGTTTGATGTTACATCAATGTTGCTGTTTGGTTCAGCTGAATTTGATTGCATGGATAAAGACATGATGAAATAGTGTTGCATTGTTTAAGCTGCTGTTTCATGATAACTGACATGGAGGGAGCTTCTGGAATTCCCTGTTTTTTAAACATAAGGTTAGATAAAGCTGACCTCGATGGGTTTGGGGAAGAGTCGGTGTATACCATCGGTGAATGTATATCAGAAGTAGGTGGCAAATTTTGCCTGAATCTGTTCTGATGAATTCAAGTTTTACTGCTACATGTCATGGTGAGAACTTGTGGTTCATCCCAAGTAATGCATTTCAATGAGTTAGCTGTGACTTCAGCTCAGAGAGATTGGGTTTTGTTGTGCAAACAATGTTGAGTGCCTTGTGTTGTGTGTGTTGTGTTGCTGCACAACAATGAATTTAGGGGGATAAATTGCTGGTGACATCTTCTTTTGTATTGACCAGTTTCCAGCCAGCATGCTTAGCTCATCTGTAGTGACATGTATTTTTGAAGGTCCATTTTACCTTGATAAGCTCAAAATGGGTCTCCCTATGCATTCAGATCCATCCCCAGACAAGCCAGCAACTACTGTTCAGCTGTAATACTGTAAACAACTGTTCAAGTATGCTGGATTGTGTGTGGTTTGGGAGATACTAGCATAAACATGAATGCACAAATGAAGGTTAACAATTACTTTGGCTATGCATACTGCAATACTCCTAGCTGGCACCTGGGACCTCTTGATGGTTGAGGGACAGAAGAAACCAGTGCATCCTGATGGGAGACACAGATGAGTCTTAAAGATGTACATAGGTGCACATGTATCTTTAAGACTCATCTGTGTCTCCCATCAGGATGTGCTGGCTTCTTCTTTCCCTCCACCATCAAAGGATGCTGAGGAATTATGTTGTGTATTTTCAATCACTGAACTATATATCTTGTTTATGTAATTGTTAAAATGTGCCATGCCACCAGTATTATAAGTATGTATGTCACAATTTCATGGCATTTGACAGAATGTGTTTAGGCATTTGAGAAGTTTTGGGTTATCATTCAACATGAGGTTTATATGGGTGCTTGCATGTTCATCCCTTAACACATTTAAAAAGTGATTTCATTTTTGTTTTACTACTCACATGAGGCATTAAAAACTTGTCATTGTGCTTCAGTTGTGGTCAAGATGGTTTAAAAAAATAATATCAGAACCCATGCATGTACAGCAGTACATCCATCACTCCAATATGTCTGAACACAATTATTTTCCTAGTATGACATTGTACCCCATGCACTACCACGCCTTTAGAGCTTGTCAGTGCACCCCCTATCTCTCCTTCACAGAGCATCACTGTCTTTCCCCACAGGACATCGCTGATGATGCTCGCCTGGCCTCCTCCGGCGAGCCAGGCTCCCTCCTGCCAGTGCTCTGTGAGCTAATGTTGGGCATGGGCGACTGGCCAGCGCCGCTGACTGCGTCGGCTGAGCTGATGGAGCCCATCATCGCGCGCGAGCTGTCCGCGCTCGTAGCGCGCGCACTGCGCGCTCCCTGGCGGCCGAGTGCGGCGCTCGAGCCGGAGCGTCTGCTGCTGGCGCTGCGACGGGACGCCCTGATGACCAGCCGCATGCTGGGTTACCTCGAGTTCCGCCACGTGCGCTTGTCCGTCGCCTCTAGCGTGCAGCAGACCGTGGTGAAGGGCGCGTGGCACGTGCTGGTGCGCTGCCGCGCCCTCGTCGAGGAACTCGGTGTTTCGCCACCGCCGGCCGCCGACCAGGAGGCACGGGCGCGCCGCGAGCGCCTCGACCGCCTCACTAGCGCCATGACACGTGACGAGTATAAGGCGTTCTCGCGTGTGCGCCGCTTTTGCCCGAGCCACTGGCGCGCGTGCGAGGGCTGGCTGCGCCGACTGTGGCCGGCCGGCGCGCCGCCGCCAACCGCCGCCACGCGCGGGGCGCTGCTGTTTCTGCTGCGCGAGCTGTTGACGCTACTGGTGGATGCGGCGCTGCTCGTGCGTGAGGAGAGCAGCGCGCGCCAGCCGGTTGGTGGCTTGCCGGCGCGCTCGCTGGCGCCAGACCACGTGCGCGAGGCGGTGCGCCGCTTGCAGATGGCGGCACCACCGCGCGCTGACACCCTGCTCGTCACGTGACGCGTCACGTGACGCGCTGCGGGAGGAGGTCCCTGGGACGGCCGGGCTCCGCGACGTTATGTGTCGGAAGTAGAGGGGGACGCTGTCGTATGAGACAGGCTAGGCTGTGGGTACGTGTGTGGGTGCCCACAGCGGCTGGGTGGGTGTGGGTGCCCGCAGCGGCGGAGAGACAGTCCGCTGCGTGACATCGGAGAGCTCAGGCTGTTGTTGGGAGAACTGGATCCGTCGCAAGTTCACTCCGTTCGTTCATTGCCCGGAGTGCCCCATCTCATCACACGTTGACTTGGCTCAGCACGTGCAACGCTCGGCTGTTTGTGTTGCGCTCCGGCTGTGACAGCTTCTGCCGCGTTTCGGGTCTGTGTCGCTCGCGCCGGACTAGGGCGGCCGGCGTGACGGGCCGTGCCTGATGGCTTTGTACTTGGATGACCTGCCCTGCACGTGCGCGAGTGTTGCTCCAATGCTGCGTACTGCTGTGTGAAGACTACTCATGGATAGTTATTGTGAAGTTTAGAACAAACGTGACGAGCCCGGCATTAAAAGATACGCGCCTCAATGGTGAGCAGCTTTGCACCGTTTTTGTCGGTCCAGCGCAGAGCACAACTTTGTGATGTGATTTAGTGACAAAGCAAAACTTAGTGGTACCAGGCAAGGTGGTGAGTGATGAAATTGAAAACAAGCTCTGAAAGTTGACGAGCACTTGTTCCCGAGGCGTAGGATAATAACACGCCCACCTAGAGCAAACATTAACACATCACTATCAATGTCACCATTATCGTGTATCGCCATTATTACAATCACACGTGCCTCAAATGGCACGCCATGCCTGAACATAACATAAGCAATTTTGAAACCGTTCAAGCATATGATTTGATTTCAATCAGACACCAGTAACGAGAAGCAGTGGCTTAAATCCGGGTAAATTTAGAAGAAGAAAAATATTCATGAATAACGGGTCATAACCGGAGAATGAACATTTAAAAGCAGACTGGGACAAATGTCTCTCGAGTTAGCCCGCATGGTCATGCGCATGCCGTGCTCGGGAACGCATTCGCACAGTAACGTGTAAGGTGAGCCTGCTGCCCAGCAACGCAGCAATGCTTGAAACCCTAGCCCCCCTAACAGTTGGAAAGCTATCATGATTGAGGGAGCGTAGGGGTGCTATGTATCATAGTAATACATATTGCGCAATAGAATGTACATAGGTAGGGCACCTTTATATATATATATATATATATATATATATATATATATATATATATATATATATAATTGTGTGTGTGTGTGTGTGTGTGTGTGTGTGTGTGTGTGTGCGTGTGTGTGTGTGTGTGTGTGTGTGTGTATGTGTGTGTGTACTACAGATAGTATACTTTCTCAGTAGCTAAGTTATGGACATGTTTACTTATCCGTCGATTTCCGGCACTTTTCCAAGTTGAGATTACCAAGTTATCCTAGAAATGCCTGAGGGGTGGGCTGTCCCGCTCCCACCCCCGTCAAGTGGTAACCTTAAACGAGCCTCGTCAAGCCTCGTTTGCATCAGTTCATGTCTTGCGATCGACTTGATAAGTGCTTGAGTAGCTCATGGGATGAAAGTGAGGCGTGAAGGAAAGCAAGTTCGCTGTCACCTCAATGGCATGCAGCCGCGCCCTTCGAGTGAGCATGAGAACATAACAAATGTTCGCTGTGAACAAAAGAACGCTAAGGAAGTCCATGAACGAATAGTGAGTTGCTTGGTTACATTTTTATAAATTCGATTCAAACCCCTTGAATGGATGGATTTCTGGGATCAGCGCTCACGCTAAGCAGTGTTTGTTGTGTGAGCCCTGACCCCCACCTGTATGCCCTCCAAGAGCTTACATTTTTGCGTTTCCTCTGTCAGAGCGTAATCGGCGTGGGTGAACAGCAGGTGATACACCGCACCTTTTCTTCGTGGGTAGGGAGTTGTTTGTTGGTGTGGCGGTATGCATTCAGTTAAGCTCTCTGTTACTTCATTTAGGCGTCCGCGACCGACACAGCTATTACATGGCCTTGGACACAGCATGTAAATGTTGATCAGACTCATAACATGAGGTGATGTTTGGCTCACAGCAAGCTCGTGCTCGGTTCTTTTACACTCCCCGGCTTAGGGGGGCTCATTTGTCCGGCCAGCATTGCAGCGTGTTCGGCACTCGGCGAATGAGCATCTGACAGCCTGAGGTGTTCTTTGATGAGCTGGCACGCCAGTGTGGAGCAATGATCTGTGCCAGGACGAGTGCTCCAAAGAAAACAGACCATCGCCGCAGATGGCACTAAAGCGGACAAGCAAAATGAAGGACGGATGCATGGTTTTGACGCCAGGTAAACTATTCCGGAGCGGCACTGGGGAGAGCGGCACTCGAGGAGAAACCCTCGAGGTTAACCCCACTGCAAATGGTCTTTATCGCTACAACACGTGCTGTACATATGTGATAAACATATGGAACCGCCTGCCTTCTAAGGCTACGTCTCCCAGCGCAGCGGCATTCAAAACCGTTCGGACAAACACTGGACACACAGTCTACCTGACCGAGCCCAGATGGTCACACCGCGAGTTCTTACAATCATGTCTGCTGGAAGTGCCAAGGGAACCATTAGTAGAGCGTCTCCAGCGCCGACACTGTTCGAGATCAGTCGGATCTTCCCACGACCCCTCCTTTCCAAACGTAATATATCATAATTTATTCTGTTCTGTTTTATTTTATTCTTTTCTTTCAGATCAACAGTTGTCACTGAACACGCAGAGCAATAAACCTGGAGATCTAGGAACCTCGGGAGCTATTTGGGATTGGGGTGAATCTGCATAAGTGAATGCAAGGAAACTGCGCTGCAATGGTATCACTCGCCGACATGCGCCGATCAAAGCAACTATGTGTATGTGTGTGTGTGTGTGTGTGTGTGTGTGTGTGTGTGTGTGTGTGTGTGTGTGTGTGTGTGTGTGTGTGTGTGTGTGTGTGTGTGTGTGTGTGCGTGTGTGTGTGTGTGTGTGTGTGCGTGCGTGCGTGCGTGCGTGCGTGCGTGCGTGTGTGTGTGTTTGCAACCGTAAGTGCAAGCGCACTCTAATTGTGAGAAATGAGAAATGTAATCAATAAAACAGTCATTACAAGTCAATACAAAATGCGCGAGTCAAGGTGTCTTTTTTGGCTGCAAGGGATTTTAAAACGGTATAACTTGCCGTGTGAAAACAGCTTTCACAATGAAACGTTGAGTCTTTCCATGCACAAAAAAGTCACATGGCCAAATCGGAGCTAACAGTAAAAGGCAATCTCAAAAAAACTTTCACTGCTTCATTAAATGACTCCTATTGCAATAGGACCATCAAGCTATATTGACATCCGATCAGCTATCACCTTGTCTGTCAACCCCGCCCAGCCACGTCAGCCAGAGCAGCCAGCCCGTCCTCGCCCTACCACACCATACCACACGTGCCAAGAATGACTCGCTTGGTCAGCTATGGCAGTGGCATCATCCAGCGGTCCATGGTGTCGTCCCTCTGCATCAAATAAGTGTCCACCCATAATCATTATCACTTGCAGTCATCGCTAAACGGCAAACACGTGCTAGGAAAAGCATAGGACAACCAACAGCGAAAGTAAAGCAAACAAGTCAATCGATCGGAAAGGAAGAAAGCAGGCCAGCAAAGAATGAACACAGGAACCTTACTGAATTCCTTTGGAAGGAAAGAAGCTGGCCGGGAGAACGCATATCCAGGGCAAAACCACGGCAAAATGGAAAGCTGTCGACAATATACAGGTGTGACCACACTCAGACCCTTGTGAGCGTTCAGCCCTTGTGGGGCGACGAAACTACCCTAGCACGCAACGGAGTAGATGTATTCTTTCGGTGCGGATGGACCCTTTCGGGGTGGATAGATTGTTTCCGAGCAGATGGATTCTTTCGGAGTGGATGCGCCAGGTGAGTGCCGCTCGTGACGTGCTGTGATATCATCGGATCAGAGGTTGTCTCGAACTGAACAATGGAATCTGTGTTCTACACAGATTCCATACATGTTGATATGATATGTCCAACATATGACATGTTGACCCTAAGGCCGAACGGACTCTGATGAGAGACTTTGCCGAGGTCATCGCCGAACGGAACGGCCTGAATCCAGCGCTACACCGAGCCGCGACCAGATGCCACGAACACAGCCACTCGAGCTCGCACTGGTGATATATTGAACGAAAGCTTGATGCGAAAGGATGAAACATGCGATGAACAGATACGCATCATGATGATGTCAGCACATGTACGAAAAGCAGCTGAAAAGCGAGCATTGTCGCGGAGCAAGTAAAACACAGCAGCACATAAAACACATCAAAACACTATGGGCTGCCAGAGCGGGACCACACAAAAGTCTGAGCTAATGGCTGTTCCGCGCCTGCGCAGTCACCACGCGGCATCACACACCACTGCGTCAGCCTCGTCCCCGGCATCGCAGGCGGCAGAACCGCGCCAGGTTCGCCGCCGCATCAGGTGTCACCCAGCCAGGCGCGCTCCAGTGGCACCCTCGACGGTCTCCAAGTTACCACGTGAACGGCTCAGGTTTCGGAGGGGGTTCGAAGGGGCCGTACGGAGTCGCTGCGTCGTCTTCTTCGGCCGCGCTGCTGACCGAGTCCCGCCACAGGGCTTCCTCCTCTTCCTGGAGTTCTCTTAGCTGCGCGAACTGACGCGCCTCGATAAAATCTGAGGAGGTGATCAGGGACGGATCCAGGATTTCGTCAAGACAGTGGCCACGCTTCACTGCGGTGTTCCCTGGGGGTTGGGAATCCCTTCAAAAAAGTCACGCTTCACTGCGTGAAACGTGGCTTCACAGGCCGGCGTTCCCTGGGGCTTCGGGATCCCTTCAAAAAGGTCTTCACCTCTCAGCCACTTTGTTTTCAGATTCTTACTTCGTAATTCGTAAATCATATTCATCAGCACATCGTGGAGGATTAGACATAGTAGGTACATGTGCACATGACATGCGTTTTTCCAGGAGCTGACGGACTCTTCCTTTCTGAGCCAAGGATTTTGGAGAGATATGGCGAAACGGAAACAAATCGGCGTCCAAATGGCATCAAAGACTCAAATAATGACTGAAATAACATCGCATGACGCGAATGTTAAAATGTGTGTCGTTGTCGTCGAAAACGGCAAAGCCAGTAAAGTTCCTGAACTTTTGACACGATATGCTTTCTGGTACTGGAACATGGGCTAGATCCCTGGAACACGTACGCTGTGCTGTGTTTTGAATTCACGTTTTGAGCATCACAAAGGAGTGGGAAAATTGCCACGAAATCGAGTTGAGGATCGTGACTCCAGCGATGCATAAGTGATATATGGGTTGAAAACATTCAACACTCGGGGATATCAGATCGGCTGTGATGCCGGCACTTAGATGATTTTGCATTCTGACGTATGCACGGAATACGTAGCTGCTATCATCTGTCGCGTAACGGCTAAAAAATCGTCTTTTCGAACTTAATAGATGTTATTATCATACAGCACCCGTACTTTTGTTTAGTAGTACCACCCGACTCAATAATTTCAAGGCATGTGTCGCTATGTTGTTATTGAGGTCCAATCTTAGTTTTATTTCCTCGTGTATTTGTTACGCACAACAATTCGCGTGGGTAATAAATTGTGATTTAAATAACGTATCACCAACTACGTATATACGTAGGTTACCTGTACATTTTCGTATCCGTTAACCATTCAAGCCTGAACAGATTTAACACTTTGATCAGCAACTTTTTTCGTGATGCCGAGGCGGAACAACTTATCGGTACAAAGCGCTTTTCACTGTAGAGATCGTCCAATGCAAGCTTGTCTTGAATTGCAGCTTTCTGTCGAGAGTCCATCTATGGTTAAAAATTAAATAGGACCCGGGGCGCTAACGGACCTCCTCCCACTAGCTGAACTGACCTGGACTGATGTCCGGGGTTTTGTTAAGGGGATGTCCAGACACTGTGGCCAGGGCGCTGTCAAAGCCACGGAAGAGAAAGCCACTGCGGTTGATAACGGGCCTCTGCTGGTGGAAAGACCGCAGGGAATCCGATCCCAAATCGCCCCCAAATTAATCCGCCTGACCCAGCTCTCTGTATTTCACAACATTCAGTTTACAGTTTACACTCGTTGTGCTAACTTTTTTGACTGAACGAAAAGGTATAAGCTACGAGAAGATACTATTCGGCAGGCATTTATAAGTGAAAAAATGACATCAACCAATAATTCTTAATATGCAAGTATGAAAATTAACCGCGGTAGATAGTCACTTCACCGCGTCTTATTTGTCTGTTATTATAGCACAGTACAAGGGAGAGGTGTTGCCATATTTTCCAGAAGTTTTACAAAGGTATTGCCAGGCCTATGGATTGAACATCAGCGACGATCGAGACAGGGCAAAAAAACTTGCGTTGATATGGCTCACCCGTGCTGGCCTGGGGAAGCTTATTCTGTTCACATCCTTCAGCAGATCCATCAGCGAAAATAATGCGAAATAGTCTTAAGCATGAACGTCGCATTGAAGGAGAAAGAGCGCCGATGCCTGACGGCGAAGTGTCCATCAGCAGTGCGACTACGGCCTCGCGGGTTCTTCTTGTCTGTCACTGGGCGGGGGAACGCGGCCACGTATGGGATGGTAATACTTTTGAACGTATTATGAAAGCAATGGACGTAGGCATAGAAGGTATTCAGGGACGTAGTTTTACCCGCGCGATACTCAAATCGATGCTCTTGAACGCATTAGCACGCACACCATTGCGAATTTGTGACTAACTGGCGTAACCTCTATCGTCCGCTTTGTTGTAAGTACTAATCCGTTCAGAGAGTCAACCTCGAAAAAGCACAGGTTAGGGTTCCTGGTCGAGAGCTGAAGGACCCTTCCGTCTCAGACCCGAGTGCCGCGCGGCCATCATTCTGGAGACACGAGGTTGCGGCCACCCGGTCGACCCTGAGGCCCTCAGAGGGCTAAATCATTCACTGCGCCGGTCTCCTTCCTGATGTAGCGGCTTTCTAGCCCGGGAGTCGTGACACCGGATCGATGCAGGGTCCTCGCTCACGCAAAACAGCCCCTTGCCGGTGCAGGGAGTCTAATAATTGGCCCCCAGACAACAATTTAGCTTATTGGCCCCAGTTTGAAACGGTCATTCGATACTGTTGCATCTGACTAGCAAAGGGTCTCTCCCATGGTCTCGTTGTGAATGAGAGTCCTTACAAAGTCATTTCGCAAATTCACTGTCGTTGTCAAGGGAGCCCCACCAACGCAAGAGGCCATTTGACATTCGTGGTCACGTACCTGCCTCTGTTCAGTGAATGGGCCTCTAGTCGACTCGGGGCCCATTACCGACGCAGGGTCCCATGATAGGTACTGTGGGCCCTGGCCACACATGAGGCCCTTCACTGTTTCAAAGGCCTAAATAATGCAAGAGCCCTTCCGATTGACATCTGTAGGCCCGGCCTTGACGCTGCTAGGAAGAGGCGTCCAGGGCGCAGTTGGCACGGAGCCAACTGTCCGGCTTTGGTGGTCCTTGTCAGCCGACTGACGTGGAGGTCACCAGTGTCCCAGGGCACCGGGTCAGTGCAACAGACCCTCTGACTGACATTTTAGGGTCCGGCCTTTAGGCTGGGGTCCCTTCACATGACTCCCGGCCTGCCCTTCATACTCTACAGTCGGGCCCTTGATTCTCATGGGGTCAAGGGGACCCTCTCGGTTCCTTAGGAGCCTATGGACTTAAGGACCTACGGAGTCACGCGCCCGGTGTCCCCCCCCCCTCTACATGGTGCTGGCGCCCTTCAGATTTGGTTCCTGGTGCAAATCGTGATTTTGGAGCCATTTTTGTGCTCGTGGAACTTGCCACCTAAAAATGAAGGTTTTGGGACCCCACGAAGTGCCCCCTGGAATTCGGTGTCCCTTAAAATAAAAGTTATGATGCCCGGAAGCAAGGTTTTCGGTGCCCTTTCTCCGAAGGAGGTGGATTCACAACACGGAGAAATTGCGGTGCCGCCGGATTTCGGTGTCGCTTGAAAATAAAGGTGTCAAGGCTCCTTGAATGGACCCCTGGATTTGGTACCTCTAGGTAATCAATGGAATGGTGCCCAAAAATGAAGGTATTGGTGGCCCTCGCCGACTGGGCCGATCCAGAGTTTTGCCAACGGGAGGACGGGCAATGCGAAGATCCCCGGAATCCGGGGGGGGGGGGTTCTCACAAATTAAGGTTGTGAACCGCAGACCTGCATACAGAACGCAGGGCTTTCACGAGAAGCGCGTGGACAGCAGACGGTAGCGCGGTCCCGGCAGGCGCCGGTGGCACGCTGCGAGTAGCATCCTCTTGCTAGGCTGTTGAACGCAGGAGAAATGACTTTGAGGCCACAAGTGAAAAGCGTTTGGAGGTTGGCTTGTTTGAAGGCATGCATGCTCGGTAGTCCTTGAGTGAAGCAATCCCCAAATGCAAGACATAAAACATCAGAAAGACAAGAAGCGAGCTGCGGCATGGGAGGGCCCGAGCAGTGCCGTCAGACACTCACCAGACTGTATTCTGAGTAACTCCGTCGCCAGCGTATTCAACAGCTTCGGCTCCAGCTTGGCGAGCTCCGAATGCGTCTGCAGAACTACCTTCATGTGGCAGACCAGGAACTCAATCACCCCTCTGTTGTTGATCATGTCAGAGCCTGAGGAAAAGGAAGTCGGTGCCACTATTTCCTGACTTTGTTATGTTTCTGTCAACAATGCGAAGATGCTTATCATGCTAATAAACCAGTGGGGATCCATGGTTACACTCTCCTCACCAACTTGAGCTTAGCGTAAGCTGATTGAGACAGCACTACAAATTGCAGGGGTCTCCAAACAGACAAGATGATGCTCGAGTGCGAGTATTTGCGAAGAAGATTGTTGGATAGCTTGACCTGCATCGAAACATGAGGAAAGATGACTGAAACTCAAGGGTGTGTGCAAAAAGTGAAAAATACAGCTAAACGCATTCACGTACACCTAATGCATGTAAACAACGCTTATAACGACTTTCCAACGGACACAATTCAAACTGCTATTCTTGTGATTTGATTTGCACGATTGACTCGCTTTAGCCTGGCTGACCGATTTTGTCGATGATGTCGAGGGCAGGCTCTTGCCTCCAACGGCGCTCGCACAGCTGCTCCAGCCGCTCCAGCAGAAGCCGCTCCTCCTCACCGGCCGGCTTGTGCCCCGCCAATACGTTCCTGACGATCGTCACTTCGGCGTCCAGCATGGCCTGCGGCAGGTTCGGACATCAGTGGCGGTGCGCGCATGCGCCTTTGCCTGTTGTGGCTTATTGTGGCATTCAGAGCCAAAGACGATTTCAGTACCTTGAGAATATGGGGGCTGAGTGTCAGATGTGAGGCAGAAGACGAAACCTGGACAGACAGACGGACTCGGGGGAAGGGGGGGGGGGGGGGGGGTCATATGTCCACAGTTCATAATATCTACAGTTCTTAAAGGAAGTGTTCTACATTTATGCGCGTGTTGATTCGGGGGGGAGTATTCAAGGGTCATCCAAGCCTTCATGGCGTCATAATAACGCCCTTCAAATCTTGCCATTCCATAAGCGAAGCAGCGATCAAGGCTAATAAAAATATAATGGTCGAGTCGTTCATATCTGGCGCTCGTGAGCACGACTTCCAGATATCACGGCTGTCAATTGGCTCTCCACCAATCTTGTGCAATGTACGATGACGTTATCAAACAATGACGGATAGAGGGGCATTATTAAACCGAGAATTGTGTTGTTTGGAGCAATCTCTTCTTCTTAAAAATTTACAAAATAGTTGTAAGTGAGCTTGTTCTATCACATCTGATGCTTGCTTCAATATATTCAAATGTGAAACACTCCCTTTAACCTGCTGACTTCGCGACGTCTTTATCCGGGAACGCAAGAGATGGAATACCATTACCGAGACATGAGGGGCACTGACGAGCTTTGTGTCAATTAAATCATGCAGGAGCGCCAAGCATAGCTGATTGTATCTCAGACCGAAGCAGTGCCTAGTCCGCAGATTTCCAAGTAAAAAGATGGTTAAGTGGTCACAAACGAGGCTGCAGACAGTCCCAATGTGTTTTTCCATACATCCTAATCCCTTCTGCTCTCTACATTAGTTTGATTTCTTGGATTAGAGCCCTTTCGGCCAGAAATGATCATTTCAGTGCTATGGAATGGAGGAAATGGTTAACGATGGGGCAGACGTGCATGCACCTGGGGGGCCAACCGCCGAGCTTTACCCCGTGTATGCGCGGTTACCCGGTCTGGGTCCCCTTCCCACGGGGCTCTCGGCCCACTCGTGGCTGACGCACGCAGCCTGCCCCGGACAAGCGGGGTGTCACGAAGATGCAGGATGAAGCAAGAAAGAGGATAAGAGGGACAGATGTGATGTCGCTCTCGACATCAACTCCGCACTTCTCTCCAATCCTGTCCAGCCCCTGCTCACACACCCCAGGCCCGCTCCGCAATGCACCTCAACCCCGCTCTGGCGTGCGTCCAAGCCACCCTCTGCTGTCCATATCAACCACGTTCTTCCGTCCATCTCAGTCCCGCTCGCTGTCGATCGTTACCATTTGAGGTGTCGTGCTCAGATAACAACCTTCAGTATACCAGGTGCTGCTGGCTAAACGACATTATAGTGGATAAACGTTAGCTACATCGACTGTACTCAACGTTAAAGCTGTGCTAACGGTTACGAGTGCTTTTGATGATCTCATAATCACGAGGTTTATGATCACGGGTGCTCATAAACAGTGCTTGTGATCATCAGAGATCCAATATGCTTGAAATGTTTCATGCTGTCAATAAAACTAATGCTTGCTCTATCACGTGTCATTGTATATATATATATATATATATATATATATATATATATATATATATATGTGCGTGTGCGTGTGCGTGTGCGTGTGCGTGTGCGTGTGCGTGTGCGTGTGCGTGTGCGTGTGCGTGTGCGTGTGTGTGTGTGTGTGTGTGTGTGTGTGTGTGTGTGTGTGTGTGTGTGTGTGTGTGTGTGTGTGTGTGTGTGTGTGTGTGTGTGTGTGTGTGTGTCTATATAACGCCAGTGCCTCCTGCCATATTGAAAATCAACGATTCAGCATAAGCACTCTGAACTCATAACGCCATAGAAAGGAGGAGCTGAAAGCCCTTCTTGCTTACATCAAGTTATTGTCTATTCCCGTGCCGTTCCACCGTGCGTCTCACCCCCACTATGCCGCCCACCCCCCTCCCCCCTTAACCCATACAGTCGCATTCTTCCCCTTTCCAGCTGACGTGCCGGGCCCGCCGCCTACCTGGACGTATTGCTCGAAGTCCGGACACTCCTGGTAGATCCCCTCCGTGACGTCACGGCAGGCTCGGACCAGGCGGTCCTCTCGCCGCCGCGTCGGGTCAGAGCTCGCAGGAGGAGAGACGTCCCTGCGCACGACACGTGTTTGTGGCCGCTCGTGGTGATGTGGTGCGTCACCACAGCCATGCTCGTTTGAAACGCAGTGGTAATGTAATGAAGCCAGTAACAGGGAACGAGTTTGGCAGAGAACAGTGCTTCTATAAACAGCGGAATGAACATCGCGGCTTCAAAACCATGGCCACCGCCCGCATTTTGTATTGTGCTGGGCCAAAACGCGTTTTCCATGCAATATTTCATACATAGACATATGCTATGCACACCACCACTTCTGTAATGCATGCACGTGAAACTTATCGGATGCAAAGTGGTGTAGTTCGAGGATCCAGAGCTTTGTACCCGTGAAAATCTACTGTCACAAGGAATAAAAAAAACAGCAACATACGATGCATCTGCTGATCGAAACCTTGCCCCAACGATTCGTCGCTTTGGACAAAACGACTGCCTTTTTCGCCCTCGCAGCTCTATTACCGTGACGTTTACTTCGAGCCATGATATACAACCTTGAAATAAGAATCTCAAAAACGAATATTTCGCAACCGATCCATATGCGTGGCAACGGGGCCGTCCATAAATAGCGTTACACGGTTTGACCGATCATTCAGCCATACCTGTCGTGGTTACCCACCGGTTACGCTGGGCACCACTTCCACTATCCCTGGTCACACTGTGTTAAGCGTAACGCTCCAAAAAGTGACTTCCGCATGGATTATAACGGAGCTGGGGATGCGAAACAAATTGCGGAAGTGTTCCTTGTGGCAAAAGGAAGCCGACGCTCTTGGGCCTTAGGGTGTTAAACGGTTCGAAAACTAAAAAATTTGCAGCCACGCCTCAGCGCAGCGTCACGCGGCATCACGCGTCATTCAGGGGATTAAACAAAGGGCGATTGCCAGCCATTATCACGATACGTGCCTTTCTAAGAATCAAAATGGGCGAACATACGTGTGCGTGCAAAGGAATTCAACCAAAAAGGCACCACGCATCACGCTTCATAAAAGGCGCGGTGCGTGATGCCCATTTGCTCATTGTTGCTTTTTATGCTTGCTGAAATTTAGGACATGCCTTATAAAAGTCGGCGACCAAGTATGAACATACAGGGCTCATCATGACCGACCATGCGAACGTGATATGTGCCTTTATGTGTGATGCGTGCAGGGTTAAAATCGTTTACATGTGTATGTGATGCCTGACGCGTGATTTGCGATGCCTGTTCAACTGAAATCGTTTGTATGTATAACTGATGCGCGATGTGTGATTCTTGTTTAATTCTCACTTGCATGTTTGAATGTAGCGTGATGTGTGATGTCTATTTGCTTGGATTCGTTTGCATGTACGCGTATGTTCGCGTATTCTTATTCTTAGCAAGGCACATATCGTGTGACTGGTAATCGCTCTCTGTTTGATCCCCTGAATGTTGGTGTCCTGTAAAAACCGCGGCTTGTTTGAAAAAAACTGAAAAATAGAGTAGGATCATCGGCAGGCAATTTTAAATTCCCTTTTGCTATTGTTTCGAGAAAATATCAACCCAACTATATCTCCACTCTCCTGCTTTTTCCCCAAGGAATATGGCCCAATACTTCTGTCTTATCTATGTGAATAATGTTCCTCACTAATGCACTGAACAATTTAGAAATAAAGCTGCGAACATTCCATGATCTCCAGAGTCACCTTGCCTCCTGAACTGACCTTGCACATATGTCTCAAGAGCTCGTCCGCATTCGCCACTACACCCGCGCTGTGGGGTAATGGGCTACGCTGAGCCCCCTCCCCCACCCCCCGCCGACCCGACTCTCCTCACCGGAAGCGGCCCTCCTCCTTGGGCACGAGGTAGCTGAAGTGGCCGATCTTCAGCGGACAGTCCAGGAGAGCCAGCGTGCCCTCATCGTCCACCAGGCTGATCAAGGGCACCACGGGAAACAAGCTCGCCTTCGTGTCCTATGGGCAGCGACACCGGCCAGGGGAGGTTCTGGGTGACAGCGGCGCGTGATGATGCAATGCAAGGCCACCGGACAGGCTCCTCGTCCGTCATCCGATTTGGATAGAAATATGTTGCACTGGAATTGCCGTAGATGCACCATGACTACGCTACTATTATATTTTCTTAAAATGTTTAAGTCCAGCCGAATGCAGTAGGATGATTTTGGCGAATTATAGAAAAAAAACACGGTTCCACCATCAATACCACAGCAAAAATTATTACTGGAAAATCTGCTACGACTTTACTCCCACTGCCAATATCTATATCCGACATTGAGATGCGTGAGAAAACATGATCTTGCAAAACGGGAACCCTTCATAGCTTTTATTGCAAAAACTTGTAGTCTTAACGTAAACGCGACATTACTTTTCCTGATGATAGGTAGCATTGGAATCCAAAACGCGTGAGCACCAAATAGGGATGCAGTAACAATTTGCAAGTTAGACGGAAACTCCCCTAGACAGTATTGAATTTCTATGAAGTTAATTAATAGAACTTGAACGCAGTATCATTAAAGTATCATTGTTATTAATAACTTGAATACAGTATTAAAGTTATCAGTTGGTTGCTATTAAAAGTTCGTGGTACCGACTCGAAACCAAAATTATCATCAGGTTACGCTACAGCGTCAATCTGTCGTGCTTGGCGCGTAAGTGAGCTTCGGTAGCAAGATTTCAATGACTGGTGGAACTTTTTGAAGCATTAGTTCCTCCGCGTTAGCACTAGTCTTATATAAGTCATTGCAGTAAATGTCGCGTTTTAGTGAACACCAGACTAAGGGCGTGGCATCATATTCAACCAGGAACCCCACCCACCTCCCATCTGTCAAAGGAAGTTGTGTGTCACATTTGGGACAAACCGCGAGATTCTTGTATTTGGGGGCAGGTTTGGTCGATTTTCCTTGCTCAGCCTCACATTTCGGTTGCGACACGACAAAACGTTTTGTTTTCAGTAAAAGAAATGTCACGTAGAGCTACTGCTGTCGTGATCCTGTCAACCGCAATGTTCGCAGCAGTACTAACGCGCATCGATATCATGGGGCGCAGGCCTCTAGTCCGATTTCACCCGTCCAAGTACTCCCATGTGTCTGACCGTTCCGTTATTTGCGGGGCTTAACCCGTGAGTGGAAGTAATGAGGGTATGATTTGTGAAATGTGGCCTGTATCATGTAGCATAAACATCGCAAAAGGTTGAGAGCAAAATAAATGTTGTTTGCAATCGGATATTTCTATTTCTACAGTATACAGAATGGTGGGCGTAAGTTTTTAAAGCGTAAGTTTATGAAGGATACAATCCTAAAGCATGAACTTTAAGCACACTATTTCCGAGCGCAAGTTTTGGAGTATAAGTTTGTTTAGCATACGTTTTCTCGTTTAACACCAAATTAACACCTGTACCGCATATAACTTTGCATTAGAAGAAATATCGCGTGTGGTTAAAATTTGTACAAGCTTTTGGAGAGATATGTCGCGTAGCAATAGTATCGAAACAATCATGTCGATAGGAATTTGTGCCGTTGCACTTATGTCCTGACACCAATAAATTCAAGGCGATCAAGGCGTAATACTTTGAAGTATGAGTTTTTGAAGCAATAGTTTTATTGTGTACCACTCATATCACTTGCAACTGTGCAGTAGCAGTAATATCGTGTATAAGTGAAGTTTGTAGGGGGTTTTGCAGTAGAAGTGATAGCGCGTAGAAATGCTGTCGATTGCACTATTGAAGTGACACCAACAATTCAGGGCAATAATTTTACTGGGCCGAATCATCGGAGCAAACAACCCGATACTGGGTAAAATTGGGCGCAACGGAACACTTCGCCTGGAATAGTCAGGAAAAACAGAAGAAAAGGTAATGCCTCTGCCTAGAATGCTAGCTAGTAAAAAGAATGCTAGCTGTAAAAAGACAGTTTATTTAACAAAGCTGGCTCTCGCAAACCTGGTTGATATCGTTGGCTTTTCACATGCCTTGCTTGCCTTGTTGCGTCAGCGAAGATCCGAGAACCAGGCTTCGAATTACCCTGAGTTTGTGATACACCTGTTTTATAAACTGTTCGTGCCTTAACACAGGCCTAACATCGAGCCGATGATTTCGCCATCGTATGCCAGCACTTTTCAGTGAAATACATCTCACCATTGATGCCAATCTTCCGCTGCGCTATTGCACTGCCGCGTCTCCTGCATCAAATGTCGGCCTGTCCGTCGACGAATGGCTGTTACATTACATCACATAAAAGTTCCATTACAACGTTTCTAAAGTGGCTTACTCAGCAGTGTTATTAAGAAGCGGGTTGTAGTGAGGAAGCCAATAGTGTTTCCTGCGTCCCAATATCTCCATGAGCACGTACACCTCACTCGGATCCCAATGGCCTTATCGATTCTCGTGCCCTGCTCGGTGGGAGGAGCTTAGTTAAAACGCTAAAGCGACCTGCACCAGCCAACTCAGCTTGCCCATGGTAACCGAACCTCAGTATCAGAAGTCAACCCCAAAACAGGTAAAATAAACGCAACTGGGGTTAAACGACAACAAACAGGCCCTGACAGATACAAAGTACTCATACCTCGAACGGCACCCAGAGTAGTTGCATGCAGTAGTGTAACGGGTCTTCCACAGACGGAGCGTGAGCTCCCACTTTCTCCAGCTGCTTGTCCAGGCTGGCGCACAGCCTGCCGGCTTCGAGCAACGGCGCGGCGCCGTCAGCGGCGACCGGCGAGAGGGGCCTCGAGCCCCCACTCGGTGAGAGGGGCCGCGAGCCCCCGCTCGACGAGAGGGGCCGCGAGCCTCCGCTCGGCGAGAGGGGCCGCGAGCCCCCGCTCGACGAGAGGGGCCGCGAGCCTCCGCTCGGCGAGAGGGGCCTCGAGCCCCCGCTCAGCGAGCAGGGCTGCTGCCGCTCTCTCGGTGAGGACGGCTGTGAAGTTTCGTCCGTCCCGAGAGCTTGTGAGGGGAGCTGGGCACCAATCGTCAGCTGGTGGTGATTCTGCCGAGAGGTGCGGGGCAGTTATGGTAGGACGATACTGGAGGGCTAGGTGTGTGGGGGGGGGGGAGGAGGTGGTGACACGGGGAGTTGCGGTTTAGGCGAAGGTCAACGTCCTCGGGCTATCGTCTGCATTGCGTGGTAGATAGAGGTACGAGATGTCGATGGCAACAATGTCAAAATATCCGGTCAAGCGAACCACGCGTTGATACGCTCCCGAGATGAAGGAAACACCAACTAAGTGAGATGCACCACTTGGAAGCAGCGTAAGGCTCTCGTTCGCAAACTAAGCACTGTTGGTTCGATAGTTATGGCCCATGCTATCCCCTCCCAGCGTGTCTGAACTGTGAACGCTACTGTTTGACCTGACCTTTGACCATGTACTGAGTGGTTCCGTCGTCCACCAACACATCAAACTGTAAGGTGTTCGGTGCTATATCAGGTAAAGGGCGTGTCCTACATGTGCATAGGAGTGTAAACTACGAAAGCCATCTATAAGACCATTCGGTGCGTTTCACAGCCCTGCCCTTCTAAAGACCTAAACCTTTCTAGTTTATTAGCTACATACCCGGAAAGATGTGCAGAATATTTGGGTGAGTCTATTGTAAGACCACCCAAGCATACATGACACCATAATAACGTCATTCGAACCCTGCTGCTGCACTGGCCATGCGGCGATCAAGGTCAATAAAAATATGATTGTAGAGTCGTTGATATCTGGCGTTCGTGCGCACGATTTCAAAACATAACGGCTGTCAGCTGGCGCCCAACCAATGTTGTGCAAGGAACGATGACGAAATCAAATAATGACGTAATGAGGAACATGTTAACTAGATAGGGAAATTGTGATGTCTAGAACAGTCTTATCCACTTCAAGGTATACTACTAGCTATAAGTAAGCTCATTTCTTCATATCTGGTGTTTGTTTTAATAGCTTCAAACGTAGAACATTTCCCTGATCACAGGCATATTCATGTCTATCTGAAAAATATGAGTCATGTAGGGGTTATCATACCGAGAACACTGGCCAGTGGCCACAGGGTGCAAGGTAACATTTATCATTTCCTCAGCGTCATCACGCATTATCATCACCGTTTTCATCATTGTCTTCATCATCATCATTCAGCATTCCAACTTGGCGGACCGTGTGACGGCGCGCTTTAATTGCACAATAGGCTCACCCGTTTTGCAACTTTGCTTGAACGGCTTTGATCACCCATTACTTTTTGGTGACATTTTCAGCGCTAATTGCGAATACGCCTTTAAGGGTCATGAGCATGTCCGTTCTCACGCGAGCTGTTTGGAGACTTTCGATGTTCGTCTTTTTTACACATTTTAAGGTTAAGTTTGTAAATGGCAGCCGAACACCACCCGGTCGCCTGTCGGTCGGTCTGATTCGCGTTGATGTTGCCGGCAGTCGTCGGCACGTCCCGTGCTGGTGCAGAGAGACAACGCCAGACGGCTGAAGTCATTGTTCGAAGGATAATAACATCGCAGTTACTAACCTCCCCCTCCTCCAACTTACCATCCACTCAGTGACATCGGCTGTCTCAAACGTGGCTCAGTACGTAATGCGAGCTGTATTTCATAGACCGCCTTACGTGCAGCAGTTATAGAGCGTTCTCACCTTTCGGAAGGGAACGTTTGCGTTAACCCGTTTAACAGGAAGCAGAATTCGCCCCATCAAGGGCCGCGACCAGTCGCCAAAAGGTCTATTGTTGGCCACTGTTCACCTCTACTCCTTGTATATTAGTCAGTGACATCTATGCGCAGAATGCAGAAAGCAGATCCCAAGGACTTGAACCGCACGGATCTGCTTTATTGGGATATCCCGGCCGAACCAGATCCGTCTCGGCCAGATCCATCGAGCCTGCCCAAAGCCGGACACTTCAAATATACAAGATCCTTCACAGCCTGGGCCCAGACTCCGATCCATTCGGTGGACTTCTGAACCACCAGGAGCGTCCTTAGGAGCCATTCGAAGGGCTGGATTTCCAAGAGATCCATCCAGGAGAGAGCCATGATATTCCGCGCATTTGCTATCTTAGCCAACAGACATTGCGAGCAGTGTGATCACCAAACAGGTTCTGAATGTCCTCATGACTCTCATCGGAGTCGGAGTAACGCCAGTCGGCACAGGAAAGCTGACAGCTGGGTAACATGAGCCTTCCATAGCATATATTATCATTAAGAACTGGACCGTAGACACGATATTTTCTTAAGATCATACTTTGCCATTAAGTGTTCGTTTTAATGCCGTCGTCGTTCGAAAGTTTGTCAATCTACACTACGTGAATAGTGCGACCATCATCAGTCCCTCACAAAAACTCAATTAGAAACTTCATCATAAATGTTGCCAATCCAATCTAGCATCCGCATAAATCAAATGGATATCGCATAACTGGTATCAGAGTTCTGCGGTGACGAATCCATGGCCTAAAAAGCATTCTTTGGGGCTTGCCTTCCGCATTCTGTGCATAGCTTGTCAACGAGCTGCAGGTCCCAGAAACGGACAGTCGCCAACAATAGACCTTTCGGTGACATCACCGAGGTACAAGTCCCAGAGCGGGTCGATTGCCAACGCAAGACCTTTCGGTGACATGGCGCGGTTCTGGTCGCTTTATGCTTCATATAAACGGGTAGCGCAAACCATCCCTTCAGAAAGATATAAACGCCTTACAATCACTGTGTACGTAGTACAGACAGCCGATGCCATTGGGTGTGGGGAAGAAGGCCCATAACCCCATCGCTACTATCTTTCAAACAATGACCTCAACTGTCTGGAGCCATCTCTCTGGACTGGCCCAGGAGGGGGCCGGCAACTGCAGCGGCATCGACACGGGCCGGACCAGCCTACACGGGGTGGGTGGTGCCAGTGGCCGGACCGGCCTACAGGGGGCTAGGTGGTGCCTGGGGCCGGACCGGCCTACAGGTGGTTGGGTGGTGCCTGGGGCCCGAACGGTCTACAGGGGGCTGGGTGGTGCCTGGGATCGGATCGCCCTACAGGGGGCTGGGTGGTGCCTGGGGCCGGACCGGTCTACAGGGGCTGGCTGATGCCCGGGGCCGGACCGGCCTACAGGGGGCTGGTGGTGCCCGGGGCCGGACCGGCCTACAGGGGGCTGGCTGGTGCCCGGGCCGGACCGGCCTACAGGGGGCTGGCTGGTGCCCGGGGCCGGATCGGCCTACAGGGGGCTGGGTGGCGCCCGGGGCCGGACCGGCCTACAGGGGCTGGCTGATGTCCGGGGCCGGACCGGCATGCAGGGGGCTGGTGGTGCCCGGAGCCGGATCGGCTTACAGGGGTCTGGTGGTGCCCGGGGCCGGACCGGCTAGGTGCGAGTTATTTAATGATAATGTAATCAGCGCTTTCCGAGTGATTGCTTCCACACCAATGCGTCGGAAAGCGTTGAGAGCCGTCAGTAACTTCTAGCCGGAACCCATTCCGTCTCGTGTTCTCATCTGCTTCGCTTACTGGGATCTGACAAAGCCTTTGAAAGAACGCCCCCTGCGGGTGGGTCCAAGGCTTACGCAGGGGGACATCACGACAGGCTGCACACGCCGGCCCACGACATCATCAGTGAGGAAGATGGCTCCCTCCTTCATCAGGAGCTATTCTCGTATATTTATTGCATTCAGTGTGGCTGCCGAGCCAGATCATTGGGGTGGCGACACGGTTTCAATCCGTGCCCTTGAGCTTTTTCAATGCGAAAATTTTTACTTGTCCTCCGCTTTAATCGAACGGGGAGATAACCCAGAAACGTGGTGATCCTGCAGTCCCGCTGGACAAACATGGTGATACTGCAATCCTGCTGGACAAACGTGGTGATACTGCAATCCTGCTGGACAAACGTGATGATACTGCAATCCTGCTGGACAAACGTGGGGATACTGCAATCCCTCTGGACAAACGTGGTGATGCTGCAATCCTGCTGGACGAAAGTGGTGATACTGCAATACCGCTGGACAAACGTGGCCGATCAAGTAGCCTGCACCAAAATGCCTGACTGAGGATGAGACGCAGCTTTTGAATAGTCGTGCTCCTTTTCGCTGCAAGCTGCATGATCAGAGTTCTGTCAGCAGCTGCAGTAATCTTGGCTTCCAGAAAGCGTAACGTCTGGACAGGGTCGCTCAAGTCTAGTCAGTCTAGTCTAGCATGGTTCACATGGTAGCACAGTCTAGCATGGTTCAAGTAAAACTCATTCGCCCACGCAACTCCTTTCGTATTCCCTAACCCAGCATTCAACAAAATACAGATGCAGACAGAGGTATTGATAGTAACACGGTATCAACGATGTTCTTATGTTACTGAATCTCTTTATTTTAACACATCAGTAGACAAACATGTCAGCCTCCGAGTCATTTCAACCATCTACCTCAAGTAAGACAATTCCTGTGATGCATCTGATATCGGAATCGCCACATGAGCTCCACCTTACCTGTGTGGTATCGGGAACATTTTGTGTCGGTGCTTCACATTTGTTCTCCAATATCATGGCAGCAGACCAGTCAGTGGCGTCCCCACTCGATTTAAGTATCTCAAGTTTACCGTTAAAACGGCACGAATGACCCCCGAGCCAGCTGCCTCTTTACCAAGCTGTAGTCAGCTGACTGCCCTGCCTGGGGCAGTGACCGGCCGCCTCGGGGTCAGTGACCTTGGGTTCCGTCAGTCGGGTCAGGCGGGGCAGAGGCCGCCGGGTGTGGAGCGTCTCAAAGACAGTGGAGCTCAATTTAAAGCTGGTAAGGTTGGCAGCACGCTCTATAAGCTCTCATGTCCGTGTGCATGTTTCCGACGCGGTTTTATTGTTACAAGACGTCTTGCTATCCTGCCACGGTAAAGTTGTAGGGCTGATATTAGGAAGAAAATTTATCGAGTCATTCAGCTCGTGGTTTTTGGCAGTGTTAGATGACGAAACTGGTGCTTCAATTAAGATACATTAAGGGATGGATATCGTCAGAATTTGAGCTCCCCATCCCAAAACAGGTTGCAAGCGTCCATGACCAAAATCAATCAATGCGGCAAATTGTCAGGGTCTATTGTGGTAACTAGTCGGTTTCATATCTAGGAGTTGGTCATGGTACGGGCAGAAAACTTTGCCAACCTTCTTCGATGTACCGCCTTCTTCGGATTACGATGCCACGGCAATATGTCGCTGTTGTTCAAGGAAATTAGATAGCTTCTCGAATACCGTGCTTTCTCCAGCCGCGGCTGCCTGTCTTCGGCGTATGTGCGTGTTTTGTAACACTTAGAGCTTATCACTTGCTCTGGAGCTGCTCAGGGCTCGCCCACTGCCGCACAGTCGGTGTTCTTGGTCAGGACTCGGGCCAATACACAAATTGCAAAGTGGAGCCCTAAAAAAAGCGTTCAATTTTCAGATCAGCTGCGGAATTCATGTTTGGAAGCTTTTCAAGCCTTATTCACTGTTTTACAAACGCTGCACGGGTTTCATCAAGCTTCTGAAAAGACGGTGAGTGAAAGCAAGGAGTAGCACGTGCGTCCTCACAATGTTCGTCCACTTCAATAGGTCTCCTGGCATTATATAAACGCTGTACAATATTGCCTCTTATGGTACAAAAGTCATCTCTTATATTATATGAACTCCGCATTATCAACGATTCAATCTACATGTTAAATGTGAATGTGGCGTGAAGTTAGCTATTAAGAAGCTAATAACCTTTTAATACACATATGGTTGACACATTGACTTGAGATACGAACATTTTCAAGCATAGTCCGAAGTGTCCATACTAATGAAACAGAGTGATTCTGAATAGGCGGCCCATTTATATTTATTTGAATGCGATGCAGCTGACTCATGATCCCGCATTCTTTATAACTGCTTCTTAGCCTACAGGTGCCGAGCTTAATATTTATCTATTTGATTTATCAATAAACGTAAACGTGATTGAGCTTATATTCTTTCTCTCAACATTCATCTAATCAAATAATTCGCGATCAGCAAATGTGGGGCAAAACGAAGTGCACTTCTTGTCGGATCAATAACTAGCGGGCACAATTCACGGAATTATAAGTTCCGTTCCGCTATTTGCCGCACACCACCATATGATGGCTGTTGCTCGACAGATTCAGAGATTCTGGGCGAGATTATGCAGGAAGTAAGACCACAACACCCAAGTAGAAGCGCCACGCATAGAAGCTCTTGGGAGGGTGAGAGAGTTGTCTCAAATGAAATGAGTTTCTCACTTCACAATAAAACAAAATAACATTCAGCTATTAAAATGGAATTAAAATGGGGTTTTGATGGGGTTGGGGTAAACTGGGGTAAAATGGGGTGGGAGTTGAAAGGGGTTTTTGCCTCAGCATACAGGTGGGCAGAGGCACACTTTTCCCACACTTGGACCTGACAAAATTACAATGAATCACGGGAGATGAAATGCAATAGCGTTGTGCGGATAAAGACCACACAATTTTCAGGATGAAATATTTCTATTTGGTGAGGTTTTTAGTTCGCGTATGTGGACTGATTCACAAATTTTGCAGGGAAAGGATAGACTTCGGTTTTTTGTTGTTGCAAAATGTTGACAGCCAAGGGGCTCTCGTTATGCCAAATCTCATGGTCTTGGTGAAATGGTGAAATGGTCAAATCTCAATAAAAAGAAAAGAAAGTGACCGTCAGTGGATGTCCAGGAGTTTGTTTTTGTTTTTTGCGTCTAGGACGTGCTTGTTAAACCGTAGCCGAATGGGCCGTTTGATTTGCCAACATACCATATACTTTCACCCCTGCCCCTACATATTGAGGATGTTATACAGCACACAATACTAGACGGCAAACATTCACCTTTTAAGCCAGACATAACGCGCACTACAAATTCGGTTGCCGGATAGACAAACATATGGCGAAAAGCTGATCGAACTGGATTGTGTTTTAAGGTATTTTGTTTTTGCCATGCTATGCCAACTTTAAGATGAGATTTTTGACAAATTATTTTATCTTTGCACAAAAGGCTTCATCCACGTATGGCCAGGTATGACGCATGGTATGGTATGGTATGTACATTCAGCTCTGCTTCAACAGAAATTAGACATGTACATTAAGATAGTTTAAGATAGTTTAACAATACATGTACGTTATGGTATGACATGGTACCTTCAGCTCTGTTTAAGCAAAAATTTCTGCTCACCCTCTGGTCAAAGGCATCAACAAATGTGCCCACAAACCATGCATTTCGAACTCAGCCTTAGCTGACACATTTGAGCTGGAATTGATCCCCAGCGCCGTTTTTCCTACTTGGTGCCTTTTTCTTTCTCTCTTTTTTTCTTTCTTTCTCCTCTTCATTCTCTCTGGCCATCTTAGCCCATCGTCACTTAGCAGTCACTTTCCGCAAAAGTCGCAGATATCCTCGGTGGTTTTCCTTTGCGTCTGTGCACAAAACACGCTCCGATTTCCCACAAACTATGAACTGTAGGCACTGCTCTGCTCTGTGATAAGGCATGTGGCGGATGAAGCCTGGTGTCGTCCAGCGCATTTTCAGTTCTGTTCCTGATTATGAGAACCGGTATTTTTGCTATTTTTGGCGGGTCGCATTTTGCGGATCGGTTATAGCGAGTTGGTTCGCAGCACCTCAACCCTGTGATTGTGTGTGTGGGGGGGGGGGGGGGGTTGAGAATCCCTACGGCTCGCACTTTACTGGTTCCGCCTGCGGTATCCAGCGCGAAAGGCTGCAACAGTGACCATCACTGTGCTTTTTGGCGTAAGAAATGACATACCAGTGACGGACTGTCAGATTTTTCGTGTTTCCTGATCAGGACCAGTATGAGTTACCGGCGCGGCAGTCCGTCACTCGTCCATCGTCACCATGACAACATGCCGTCCCGGTCCAACTGCCACGTGACTGTCATCGCCAATCCGAGCTGCCCGCTCAATTCGGGGTCAGGAAGGTGAGTCTTTTGGAGAGTAGCTGAGTCCTGCGGTGATCTGGAACAGCGGACTCGTGGCAGCGCTGGGTCTATAAGATACAACGACAAAAGAAAACACGGGGGCCCTCTTTACCCTGTTGAGCTACTCCATGCGAGCAGCTTCATTTGCATGCTTTTTCTTTGCTTTTCTCCATCGACTGCGATCTGGACTGCCGCCTGTATTCGCCGGTGCTTTCGTGGCGCCGCCGTTCGTCTTGCTGCTCCCGCAGTGGTCGGGAGGAGGCGGCCGGTCCAAACGCATCATCCATGTCGTCATCACGGTCCGACCCCAGCCTGGCGCAGGCACCACCGGGCTACGAGCCTGACCTGACCCGGGCGCCTCCAGGCTTCGAGAACCGAGCTCTGGCGTGAGTACGGTCACCGGCGCAGAGGCGTGGTGCCGGGAGCGGGCTAATGCACTTCGATGGCATGGTGGCGGCAAACTGTGTCATGATGGCTCCGTGGGATATCCGATGTATTCCAAAGATGTATTGGACACATGCAACATAGTATGATGCTGATCAAGCAGCTCGCTTGCAAAAAGGGTCACGATTCCGCGATATCGTCCCCGAACTTGAATACTTCATTCATCGACTTTCCAGCGTGCAGTCCATCCAGCCTATCAATCACAGTGATATATGCAGGGCTGTCCTCCCCGCCCACCATAATCCATTTTCGTACAAATGTTCAGGGTTGAGAAAGTCAAAGGATTCCTAGAATTTGTGTCAAAAGGCCAGACTAATGCATGGCATTTCGCCCAATTCACAAGATCACAATTGTGGGAATATTTCATTTTTGTTTTGGAATTGACAGTTTTCAGTCAAATTCGATGTATTTGCCCAGGTTAATTTATCTAGAGAATTCATGGTTAGCTCATGGAAGAAATACAACAGAGGCTCATTTCCGTCCAATTCGGAAAATAATTTCATCATCCAAGGAAAGATGCGATTTTTCAAAAGCTCTAGCCCACCTCAATCCAAAAATTTTACGGGCCCAGCTTGCCATAACGCAATTCGTCACCCACGCCCTGGTGCGATGTTCCAGATAACACTCAAAGTCACTCACTTATGGACAAGGTTAGTTTTGATTAAATAGCTACCAAATACTTAGTATACAAAATAAACGCTTCATTCCTTAGTGCTGCTCTTTTTATTCACATTTTCGAAGATGTAGCATGACGTGCTGGCGAATAAACGGCCGCCGTTTGTCTGTTCGCTCCCTGCTTCGTACAAACTGAACACTGGTACATCGGCATACCAACATTACGTCGCGGCAGGGCTCGAGCCGTCCGAATGTAACGAATAATGATGCAATGATGTAATAATAATTATCATAATGATGATAATAATGACAGGGTACAATATTTCATTTATTTCCATTTCCCCTATCTGGATACAGAGAGGAGCATCAAGACACTCGATCAACGGCAGATAACGCGCCTCAACATTACATTACCGTAGCAATTGGTGTGGGCCAAGAAACTTTCTTCATCTACAAAGACATCAACCGCTCAAATCAGCCGAGGCCACACAGCAGTTGAACTATGTGGATGATGGCTGGCTTTTTGCCATTATTCATGCCAAATGATGGCGGGCGCTTAATCTGAATCTCAGGTGCGTTTGAGCCTGAATTTGCGTCCAACAGGCACATTGAAATACCGTTTCATTCAAATGTTTGCACACCATTTTGGTATGTGAACGAATTTGGTCGACGTGACCTAATCAATCCAAGGAAAGTGGCATCGGGCGTAAAATTGTGTTTGGAATGCTTCATATGATCCTCCAGCTGTCATTTAATGGCTTACCCACACAAATTTTTGATCTGTGGTTATTCAAACGTAAAGCTTTAACTGTTAGTTGGGTCATTGATCTGACCCGGTAGGTGACACGTTGGTGTAAAACCTTACGCCTGGATTGCGTCGGCCTCTGCTCACGGAAGAAGCTCGCCGTTTTTTTCGCAGCTCTAGCTTAATTAAGGACTTAACACCAGTGGAGGCGTGAGATCGGCCTTGTCTTAGTTTACCCGCCTCCTTTTCTTTTTTCTCTTTCTGTGCTGTCTGTAACAAGCACGTCAAAGTAGTCCACGTGATCAGACGCGGCGCATAAATCAGCGTTCGGAAGCACGGGTTAGACCGATTCGGCTGCTCCGTTGAGTTATCGGCTCTTTTGAAGGCCTCTGGCCCACCGTATCCTGTTCGTACCAAAAATGGCCGTTTCTTCGGTATTCATGCGCCTGCGCGTTGGCATAAAGGCAATGCTTGTGTGTTCAAAAGTGACAGCCAGAGCGTTGCATCACATCACTGTAGCCAGCTAGCCAGCATGTTTTGACCCCAATTTGTACCTATGAGGCAAACATTAAAATAAACTCGATCGGAAGCATTGAGACGTGCGCTAACTTGCTAGCGGACGTCTGTGACTGGTTGACAGTGATTTGTGATCGGCGCACGTGCCGAGGGTGGCTTGTGATTGGCTCAGTCCAGCTGATAGTGTCTTACGATTGGCAGACCCAACGCAAACCGAAACCAGCTCTACCTAGTGCCCAGGCTCCTATGTTGTGGCACCACAAACTGCCTGCATAGCATGTGAGTGATCCGATGGAATCATGGCCTGGCTTCACGACACGAAACAACATGTTCATTGCAGGGACGCTGCCAGAGCTTTGGCAAGGGAAGGCACAGGATTTACAAAGGGCCCCCACAAAATCGTCGGACATGGCCCATTTGTTTTAAGAACGTATTTTTCTTATATGATATATATATACACACACACACATGTATATATATATATATATATATATATATATATATATATATATATATATATATATATATATATATATCACACATTTTTATCTTCTTTAACTAGAATATAGACCGGACGCTGCCGCGAGATCAATTCTGCCTTAAGTTCACAGTAAGTACACTAGCAAAATCATGCATGAAATGACTGCATGTAATAAATCACCGGCTCTCTTCATTTTACAATAGTGCAGTGAAATCTTTCGAACCGATAGAACTCAGAAATTCTGTGAAAATGTTTACACTATAGCTGAAAATGTTTACGCGGACTGTACGGAGATAGCAAGGATTCCGCGAATGTAGATTGAAGATGAAAATGGCTCAACAGTTTGTGGTCACATGGCCGAGCCATGTTTGTCTGGATATGTTAAGCACTCGGTGAGAACTAATGAGTGGCATAAATTATGTAACGTAGTTTTGAGCATGCACGCTATAATATCTTAGTAACAAAACTCGACGCCAGGCGTCGCAGTCTTCTTAGGCCGCTCAGCGTCGGCCCATGTTTAGTACTAGGTTGTGGCTAATAGGTGGACGATAATGGTGACGCATCTGAAAGGAATGCCTTTTGAATACTTTTGGTCATCAAAACGTACATTTAGAGATATTTCGGGCGTATCTTTTACCTGCGCGGTTTTTAGATTCATGACAATAACGCATTGGTCTTCACAGCACCCCGAAGTGGTGCAGGAATCTAGTGGTAGAGCTGAAAGAGTAACGTAAAATCTCTATCTTCCGCGTTGCTGTTCCTGTTAAACTGTCCAGAAGATTCTCTCAAACTTGTAAAAAAGATGCGCTCATGGCAATCTTTGAACTGCGCGCGTTAATTTTCAAAGACATTTAGAAACATTACTTTACGATGGTCATTGTTGCGCGCTCGGCGCCCGGCCTCGCCGTTACTTGCAGTGGCCAACGGCCTTCGGTTTTGTAAAAACTGCAACCCAAGCTACTGCTACTCTTGCTCCCCAAGATTACGGACGTGTCATTGGGTTTTATGACGCACTCAAGTGCTGGATCTAAATGGCACCGCCAGCCCCTCACCCTGGCGGGAAGGGCGGGCGGCGTCGTGGGAATCGAACCCCGTACCTGTGGTTTCCCAGACGCGCAGTGGTTGGCGCGTGCGCGTTTACCACAACACTGTTGGCACCCGGCGCAAAGGCTCAAAATTTGTGTGGTATTTGTTTCACTAGCAGATTTTGCAAAATAAGAAACGTTCTCAAGGAAACATGGGATGACCTTGTGCGTTTCCAGCTCAATCTGAGTCACTCCATTCAGCACCAATGAGACCCCTTATTTCTGGTCAAGGGCCTCCCTGAGTGCAACACTAGGAGGCACATTGTTGTTCCCAGTCAAGGGCTGAAGGGTCATTCTGTCCCACCGCGGTGTGTTTTCTGGCCGTCATTCTGGCGACACGGGACAGCATCCCCTGGCCGATTCGGAGGACCTTAGATGGATACATCTGACCTTATTGGTCCGCTCCCGGACGTGGGAGGCCTTCTGGCCCGCGCAGTTGACCCAGGACCGACGCATGAACCATCTTCGACGCAACAACATCCCTGCTCATCGCAGGTGGTCAAATAACTGACACATAGACTCCAGTTGGGCTTAACGGTGAATGCTGGAATAGGGTTGGAGGACCCACCGTTCGGTACTGGGGGCTCTGACTGGCACAGGTATCTTTTATCACCTCAATGTTATCACTCATCACAAATTCCCATGCTTCCTTCCATTGTCAGAGGAACCCGACCAACGCAATGGACCCTCTGCCATTCGGGCTCCTGTCCTCGCCCCTGTTGAGCGAATCTTCCCCTGACTGAATTGAGGTCCCTTGTTGACACAGAATGCCCTGTTAGGCACTGTGGGCCTCTGAATGATACAGGAGCCCGACCAATGTAAATCGCGGGCCAAACGTTGTTCTTGCTTGGAAAATGGACACCAGAGCTCAGACCCACACGGAACCGACCGTTCGTTTTCCGTGATCTCTGGTCAAAATAGTGGAACGTTCTGTCTCGGAAGGTTCTTGTCGGTGCAAGAGATCATCTTGCTGATATTTGAGATCACGGCCCTATCGGTGTCGGTTCTTAATGTGATCTCCAGCCAGCCCCTCGGACCTTTCAGCCATCCCATCGGGCCCTTGATCTTTGGTTTCGAGAGACCGTTCGGTCCCTCTTCGGCTCCCTCAAACACCGTTCTAACTCGGGGCCAGTTCCCGCCACAGGACCCCTGTTCTGCACTGTGACCCCTAACCCGACACAGGAACCCCTCATTGTGTCAAGAACTCAGAGCCCTGCAAATCGCGGACCCCGGGCCTCGTTTCTGCTTGGGTAATGGGTCTCGAGCGTTCAGACGGACATGGAGCCGACTGTTCGGCGTTTGTAGTCCCTGACGTACTTGGACAACCGCATTGTCTCAGGGGCTCCTCAAACGGTGTAAAAGGACCTCCGACTGATATAGTAGGTCACGATCTTACGAGCCACGATTATCTTTGTGACCCACAGTCAGTCCTTTGGGTCCTTTTGCCCTTTAATCGGGCCGTTGATAGTCGGCTCCGGTGGGCCGCCCGGGCCCCTTTTCGGGTCTCATCGAACACTTCCGTTGGTCGTCTCGGGGCCCTTGCGAGCAGAGGGCCCTCTATTAGGCGCTGTGGACCCCTGATAGATACAATGCCCCGACCAGTGTAAATCACTGGCTCCGCGATTATAGTTGATTAGTAAATTGATCCTCGGGCTAACATAGCCGGCTGGGGGACACGGAACCGACTATGTGGCACGGTGGTACCTGGCCGACATAAGCCATATCTACTCAGGGGGTTGCGATCAGCGCGAAGGGCACTCTGATCGTTATTTGAGGGTCCTGCTTCGCGGATCGGGGCCCCTGAATAAGACTCCGACCAGTCCTTTATACCCTTAGATCCTCTAATCGGACCCTTGATCATCGGATCCGTGGGCCCCCTAGGCCCTCTCTTCGGACCTCCTCGAACACTGCCTCTGGTCGACTCCGGGCCCCTTGACAACACAGGCCCCCTGTTCGGCGCCGTGGTGCCACGAGCAGTGTGAATGGCTGGCTCCAGCTTTGTCCCTGCTTGGGAAATGGGCCCTTAGGCCCATGTCGCCACGGAGCCGAATATGCGTTACTGGTTGTGGTGTCTGACTGAATATCGGCCCTCATCGACTCGGTGGGCCCCTGATCAGCACGCACGGCCGATTGACTGGCATGGAGTGCTCGACCCTGCGGCTGGTGCCCCTGAATGAAACCTCCGGCTGGCCCTTCGGGCCCTTCAGGCACTCAAATTGGGCTCTTCATCGCAGGTTCCGAGGGGCCCTTCGGGCTCCTAGAAACCCAAGTGGAAGGGGGGGGGGGGGCACGTGCCTCCTGTGCCCCTGCCTGCGCTACTGTTGCATCTCATCGTAGGAGGCTATGCACGTGATATGAACGAAATGTTTGCTCAACGATCCAACTCATGACTCAATACGCTAATTCCAACATTTGGCCAGGTGCCATCTAAGGTGCTGAAATGACAGATAAAAGCGGGCTAAAAAGGGATGGGGTGCCTTGGTAGCACCTGCGCTTGGGACCACAATCGTTCTTCAAAATTCAGACCGTACCAATACAGCCGTGTACCAGCCACGCCTCTGGCTACGACATACCTCCGCAACCCACGTGGCAGCACCACGTTGCAGCGTGATGTTAACGGACCATGCTACAGCTTGGCGTAACAGCATGTTTTGCATCCTCAGATTGCGTCAGTACAGCGTTGCGCTAGTGCTTTCCGGCAGGCTGTCTGAACCCCCTACCGTCACGTGGTACGACAGGTCACGACAGCACCCACCCAGCATGTGTCCTAGGCCTCCACTGGCCGCACACCGCTGTCCCCTTCGTCACTGGCTTCTTTGTCGTCGTGAACGAGGTCTAACAAGCCCCAAGTGTTGTTTGCAACGTCATGTTTTTTGTATATCATTCTCACGTTGTCGTTTAAGGGAGGGCATTCTTCCATTCTTTCTGTCAATTTTCGCGCTCCTGGTTGGTTCTCACCAGCTCTCGCCCCGCCTTCCAGCCTGTTCTGCTACTACGGCATCCAGCCGTTCCTAGACAACGCACAGGTGCAACTGGGCGAGGCCGCGCCCCGCCAGGCTGGCCCGAGCGGGGGCCGCGCGCGCAGTCAGGGCCGCAGAAGGAGCACCCGGTCAGCGATGCAGGGAGCCGCCCGGACCCACGCCCGCAGCGGCACGGGGCGGGCTCTCCGCTCTCGACGGGCGCCCGCGGCGACGGCGACAGCGACGGCTCCTGAGCGTGCCCTGCTGCCAATGCAAGCACCAGCACCAGCACCAGCGCCAGCACCAGCGCCAGCTCGCGATGCAACGTTCGTGCCAGCTAAGTCTCTAGCGCTAGCTCCAACTCCAGCTCCGCCCCCGGCCCCAACTGCGGTCCCAGCGCTAGACCGAGCGCCAGTTTCAGCGCCAACTCTGGCGCTGACCCGAGCGCCAGCTCCAGCTCCAGCGCCGACGCGAACGGAGCAGCCGCCGACCCCGGATGAGCACCTGTGCGCGCTCCTGGGCAACTTGGAGGTGGCCCCGCTGCCGCCGCCACTGTCGGCGCTTCCGGCTTTCGTGCGCGTGCCGCCCCCGACAGCGCCCCCCTTCCAGGGCTCGCGGTCGCACGGCTCTCTGGAGGCAGCGTTCCGCCAGTTCATGTTTCCACCGCCGGCCGCACCCCGGCGCCACCGGTCCGCCTCGCCACCGGTGGAGGAGGGGACACAGCGCTCGCCAGACAAGCTGGACGAGGCTGTCGGTGACGTCCCCTGTGCAGCGCCAGGGTGCTGTGAGGGACGGCACGTGGACAGCTATGACCCGAGCCTAGACATGACACCGGCGGGAGAGGAGAGGGGGCGGGAGCAGGCACACGCGGAGCACCTTCTCAAGCGGTTCGACATGTTCAGGTGAGCGAGCCAAGCGTGAGCAGTCGTGTACCGCCGTGTAAGTCTGCGGGTCTCAGCTGCTGCGTTAGTACTCAAAACTATTGGATACCACTGTGGTATGTAATCAACGGCGAGGAGTTCTCTTTAAAACGGACTTCGTGTGCCATGTGTAGATGAAATTTTGAAAATAGCGACCGTTTGATCGCGACTTGTTAGCTTTGCGATTAGTTACTGAGTTTGGATCACGTCAAGTGTAATGGCTAGTCGGGCCTTGTTAGTCTTGCAGTTGCCTTGTTAGTTTCGTTACACACATGCCTCTCAAGTTCCTCTTTTCAGTAAGTCAGCTGCAACCAAACTAAGCTTATTTAGCCGTCGTAGTCGAGTTAGACTGCCTTGCTTTCGTTCGCAGGGACTGGAACTACGTGCCGTTCAAGTCAGAGCCGCAACTTCGACCGCAGCGTCGCCGAGCGGACAGTGTCGAAAGCTCTGGTAGCGAGGGCGAGGACCAGGTGACAGTGACGATCTGCCACCGTGTGGGCGGGGTCTTCCATTACATACCGGCCCAGCGCGTCCTGAAGACGAACGGTGGGTGTGACGTCACGTCGACGAGGGAAGGCTTCGACTGAAGGAAGGCGCCACTGCAGTGCACGAATTTTACATCTGGGGCATCCCGGTTTCCGAAGTCAGTGTCCACACTTCATCTATACCACATCAGAATACCCTATCGTAGCTGTTTTAGCTCCAACCAGATAGATCGTGAGGGTATGTTTGAAGTTTTTTCGCTCCATGCGACGTGCCCCTTGCTGGGGTGCCACCGCAGGGAGGACTGTCACGCTGTCATTTAAACCATAACGAAAGCATCCATGCAGAGATAGCGACGGTCCGCAAAAATGGGGCTGAATGGAGGACGACTAGTTGTGAATTTGCGACTCTGTAACAGCGCTCATGCGCAAACCAAGCTGTGATATTTTGGCCGCAAGTTCGTATCGCCGTGTGAGTTTTTCGACTGCGTTGCTGTGCGTTGCGTGACAGGACTGGTTTCACAGCGTTTTGACTACTAGTTTTACGCCGCACCACTTCCAGTGAACATTCGTTTGATCAGCAGTGAGTGAGTCACCTGCGAGCAATCTTAAGCTGCATCCGTTGTGTCCAAAAGGAAGCCTATAGTTTGATTGTTGACTACCGAATAAACGCGGCAACCTTTGGCTTGCACAGCGATATACGCACTTTTCCATGTGAACTCGTCTGATTTTGCGAAAGGAGACGTCGGTGGTAGAAGTTGTGTGTACTGCTAAAGGGAATATGAAGTGGCTTTTTGGCATGAACTGTAGTATCTCCCTGGTGTAAATAGTATCTAGTAGTTCATTTTTACGTCCGATAGAGTCCGAGCTGGAGTTGGTTATGTTTCTTAATCAAAGCATACAGGTAAAACTCATGGGATCGCTACAGGCAGTGACCTGTAGCGATCCATTCCTTGTGTGAACATCGATCACGCCCTATCTCTGGCCCATTTCATTGATGTGTTCACTTAAGTCTGCTGTAATGATACACTTTGGTGGGCCACACACCGGCTTAGAACGATGTTCTCTTCTTCAGACACTTAGTCACAACCACAAGGAGATCCACATTTGCTGTCTCACTCAAACACAATCCGACGGAGATGGTTTGTTACCTAGCCACCAAAGGCGCTCAGATCGCCCTGGTTACGCAGGCGGGCGGATCATAATTTCAGTCACGCCCAGCAGGGTACCCAGGACTTCGCTAGCAAGGAAGCAAAGTGGGTCACAGGGACCACCTTGTTAGTCCCTAAAGCTTCTCCGATGCTTTTGTGTTGTTTTTTTTTAGTTGGGAGGGTTTTTGAGCCCTCTGGTCCTTTTTTTACACCTACGGAACCCTTCATATTTGGGAAGTCCGCAGGACATTTTACGCTGTCAAAAAGTGCTGCGATCTTTGGCCGAGGAGTCTCCGCCAATTCCACGGCACGCAATGGCCCCAGAGCCTTCCCTCTTGGCCACGCCACAACCCGCAGCTTTCATTCCTGTAAGGGAAGGGAAAAGTGCGTATATGTATTTGTATTCGTAACACATGAAGGCACCAATACGAATCCATGGACCATGTACACGGGATATCGAATACCCTTCTAAAATACCCTATCGCATAAGACGCACACGTATCAATGCAAACCCACACCGCGAAAGCACTGTGTGTAGACGTTTCGCATGAATTACACAGATTGCACTGATCCCTCTAGATAGCCTCGACGCGGGCGCCCAGTTGCCCCTGATGGGCTCGCTTTGGTGCAGCATAGCAATCCCATATGGTTGGCCACCAAATCACATATGGTTCGCCACAGCGATTCCAAACGGTGCGCCACTCGCCCGCAGCGACTACCAGCCGCTCGCGAGCTGTCGTCAGTCCTGCTTCGCCCCCTCCACCGGGCTGCGCTTGATCCAGCAGAGCAGGTTCAGCCAGAGGAATGAGCAAGCACCCACGTACAGCACCCGGAAGCGGTTGGGCAAGAGGAAAAAGTTGGCGGCCTGGGCCGGCAGCCAGAAGTACACTTGTTTCTGAAAAGCAGACGGCGCCGACGGGGTAACGTCAGAGGACGCCGGGGTGACGTCAGAGGGCGCTCTTCAAAATCGGAACACATGAACGCTCTATGACATATTCGAGATAATAGCGTGCTAACAACTGGCGCTCGCTTGCCGAATAGTCCATCTGCGGACACTTAAATGGGATGAAAATAGTTTAGCTCGGTACATTTGCGTGGTCACGTGACCAGGATTTCACCCGGAGAAGGCCTGCTCGGGTCATGGGGATCCTTCAGTCAGGGGACCCCTTCGCAGCTTTGGGTCTTGCGTTTCGAACTTGGTTTTATTTTAGGCTCGGGATCTTATCTTGATGCCACGGGTATCGTTTCTATGAACTCTATGACCCGATTGCGGCCTTAACTACCAAAAAGTAGTGGCACCCCACCACCTGAAGAGGGGAGGGGGATGGGTCAAAGAGCCCCTCTTGGCTGCGCCGCCGTATGTGCACGTTATTACTAATCTTTTGCACGAACAACGGGGCATACATTTCAGCGAGACATCGATGCAACTGTTTTAGGCAAAATTGTCGTCATTGGGGTGGGGGGAGGGGGAGCGGGGAGAGCTTTGGCCCCCGAGGAATACGCGGCGCCTTGGCGGCAGCAGCGGTTCTTTTGTCTCAGCGGTTTGACCCCGAGGCCGCCCATTTGCCCCTCCCCAGGTCATCGTTTCCCCAGTTGTCAACCCCTGGTGACACCTTGGACTGAAGGGAAGCAGACGCTTACCAGGCATGTTCCTATGTATTTGTCTTTGTGCTCAGCAAATATATCCTCCCTCCTCTCCATCAGGGCCATGGCTGCAAGGCAAGAGCAAGTTATTCAAACAACAACTGAACAAGTGTGCTGGCGAGAAAGCGGAGTGCGTCACACTGCACGCATTTCACAACGATATCGTAACGGTTTATCATTTCATCACTGCAAGCGTATGAAACAGAACGAAGATACAAAATACACAACCCTCGGGGAATGCGATGTGGAAGTCTACGGATCTTACGGCACCAATCGCCGTGCTAGAGCCCTCCGAGCACTTCATGGGCAGTAAAAAACATGGTGTCTCCCTGACCCTTAGCTTTACGGCTTGCGTGTACAAACACGAGACAATTTTGTGCAACCGTCGACAAAGCAAAATTGATTGGCGCTAGATACAGCCGCAAGCCAGTTTACCGGCACGAAGAACCTCCGTTGAATTGCATTTTTCTGTTGTGTGGTTTCAAACTGGGTCACAGGCATTCTGCGGGCTCTGATGTTTCACTTCGTACCGGTGAAAAATACGAAGATGTTGATGGGTCCTATGACTCCCAGGTCCAATACCAGCTTCTTGCCAACGACAGCCATGGAGGTGCCGACGAACCGTTTGTCCAGCCACTTATACCTGTCGAAAACCAGCAGAAAGGCTGGAGATCACTTACTGGAGGCCTCACGCATGTGTCATGGATGCGGGTGTGTCTTGTGCGAGCGGCTCAGTGTAACGTGAGACGCACGCACGTCACATCGCGTCACCCTGCGTCACTCTGCGTCACTCTGCGCTACTCTGCTGCAGTGAAGATCGTGTGGCCTTTACCGGGTTACAACTTAAGATTACATTGGCTCTGTGATACGATTCGCGTTACTGCACAGGGACAAAAGCAGACAAATATCACGACTGACATTTAGCTGAAAATTGCATCAATATCTTTGAATGGCCGGTGTATAAGCCACGCAATGTCTTCCCCAGTAGAAAAGACGAGCAAGCGAAAGCGTTCGTCGTGTTTCGTTTTTCTTTTAGGCTCGTGGGCTCGTGATGAAG